GAGAACTCAAACGGTTATTATTTATTTGCTAACAGAGATCGTCGATATAGATCCATCAGCCATCACAATATGTTCACAATATATCACAATATATTATTATCACAAACCAAATCCTTAAATCAGTTGAGCAAGCGCCTCATCTCCCGGCTACCTCAATCACCAGACGAAACGCAGAAGTACAACACTTCAGTTCACGCGGGTCCGCCTGGGGAAATATCATGACCTCCTGCATGCGGACCTGCCCATTCGTGCTACAACTATTGCATAGCCCTACCGCTATCGTACAACTCATCAAACCGCAAATTACCACCGACTGCGCCTTGATGGTTGGCGGTCCACCAATATACGATTTATGCAATTTCTGCCTCGCAAGCCAATTGTCGCCAACGGTATTTCTGGGCCCATATCATTTAGGGACCTTCAAGATGAGAGCCTTTTTTTTGGTATCGGGGAGAAAATCTTCGAAAGATACCCTGATATGTCACTTTACATGACAGGGTTATGTGGCGTTCTTACCCACTAAAAGCCCCTCGGTGGCCGCCTTCCGTACATTTGGAGGGACTCCGGGACCTCCCATGGAACGCACAGGTGTCCCTCGGTACTACGCCTGAGCACACCTCGGAGAAGGATAAACCTTGTGGAGAAGGATAAAAAAAAGGGTGGGCAGCAGCATGAAGTGGTCTCGTGCTGGTTCAAGAGGGTGAGGGAATCGGAGAAGGTTTATCCTTCACCGGTGCGTTCTATGGGAGATCCCGGAGTACCTCCAACCAAAAAAAAGAATGGATAGCCGTTATCATTTAGCATTAGGTGAACCACCGGCGTGACGGCAAGCGCAGCGTAGAAGGGCATTCCACAAGGTGGCCGAACGACCTAGTAAAGATCGCAGGGACTCGTTGGATGCAGACCGCTACCGACCGGTCGAAGTGGAAGTAAATTAGGGAGGCCTATGTTCAGCAGTGGACGTCCTACGGCTGATGTGATGATGATGATGATGGATTCATCACCGGCTCGTTTGCCACCTTCTCACATAAAAACAATTATAGTATTCCTTACATATGGAGCGCTTTTACGTAATAAATAAATAACGATGTTGTTTTTGGTCGAGGTTTATAAATCATTATTGCCGTGTCTTCAACTAATTCAATTAATAGTTATGAAACATAATATAATTTAATATCGGCGAATGTTCTTGAGGGACTTTTACTGACATTATTCATTAGATCCTTGAACCAACTAGAATCACTACTTCTTCCGCAACTTGTTTAGATAACATATTTACAAATTGTAACCCAAGTAACAAGTCTATTATTAATATATTTACTTCAGACCATTGCGGACAACTTGCCACTTTTAAATCATATATAAAAAATAGTAGTGCTAAGGTACAAAAAATAATGGTTGTTCCCGTAAATAGAACTCGGGTTGAGAAGTTTAGAAGTAATATAACAAAAAAGCTGACGTATCTACCTTATAATGATAGCCCGAATGCACTTTACAACATATTATTTAATTTAATTAAAGTGGAATTTAATACTATATTTACTCCTAAGACAGTCAAACCTAAAAGCTCTGTAGTTTTCAATGAATGGGCAACAGTCGGAATTCATAATATTAGACGTAGATTGTATGAACTTTATAGCGAAAGGACATACAATCATAGTCAATGTTTTGTTTCTTATGTTAGTGCCTACTCTAAAATATTTAAAAAAGCTTGTTATACTGCTAAATCTCTATATATTAGGAATAAAATAAAAAATGTACCTGATAGAATCAAAATGACTTGGAAAATAATTAATAGCGAAACGGGAAGAGTCACGAAGCGCAAATCTGACCTAATGTTAACTAATGATAATAATTCTATTAACTCAAAGCCTGGGAAGCCTGGGAAGAGTCGCAGGATGCCTTAGAAATATTCTGTGACTTAACCAAAGCTTTCGATTGTGTACAGCATGAGACCTTGGTCAGGAAACTACGCCACTATGGTATAAGAGATGTCGCACTCAATCTTCTGAAATCGTACTTGAGCCATCGAATTCAGAGAGTTGACGTGAATGGCAAGAGATCTCCCGGAGCCCTGGTAAATATGGGGGTCCCGCAGGGCCGATTCTTGGGCCTTTTCTCTTCCTCATTTACATAAATGATCTAACTTATCTTGTTAATAATAGTCATGAGATAGTATTGTTTGCGGATGATACCTCTTTAATCTTTAAAGTAAACCGACGTTCTTTAAGTTATGACGATGTAAACAATACTCTATCTACTGTAGTACATTGGTTTAGTGCTAACAATTTACTGTTGAATAATAAAAAAACTAATTGTATTAAATTTACAACTTCCAATGTTAAACATGTAAAACCTGATGTACTTTTATACAGGGAAGCGTTGGACCCTATTGACTCAACTGTATTCCTTGGCATAACTATTGATGGCAAACTGCAATGGGGCCCCCATATTAATAGACTGGCGAGTAGACTTAGCTCAGCAGCTTTCGCGGTCAAAAAAATAAGACAGTTAACTGATGTAGATACGGCTCGCTTGGTATATTTTAGTTATTTTCACAGTATAATGTCTTATGGCATTCTTCTTTGGGGTAACGCGGCCGACATTAATACAATCTTTATCTTACAAAAGAGAGCTATTCGTGCAGTTTACAATCTGGGCCCCAAAGAATCGTTAAGAAACTTGTTTAAAGAGATAAAGGTATTGACTGTTGCTGCTCAATACATTTTTGAAAATGTTTTGTATGTCCATAAAAATAAGGATAAATTTTTAAGACATAATAATGTTCATGATATAAATACTAGGAACAAAAATAAATTGATCCTACCCACAAGTAGATTGCGTAAAATAAATAAATCTTTTATGGGACAATGTATACGTTATTACAACAAAATTCCAGAAAACGTTCAAAATGCATCAATAGCTAAATTTAAAAAAAATAGTAAAAGAACGTTTGTGTGTTAAAGGCTACTATAATATTAATGATTATTTAAATGATAACACACTCTGGTAATGAACTGATCGCCCCAGGCTCTTTCAATCGGAGTTCTTATATTGTATTTTAACGAATTTATGTCAAACTGCTTATTTAAAAAAAAAAAAAGCCCGCTGAGTTTCTTTCGCCGCTTCTTCTCAGTACAGTGGCTTTCTTTTCCGAACCGGTGGTAGTGTTTTGACTATCAATAAGTGAGTGTAATGCTCCTATGTCGAATAAATACATTTGATTTTGATTTTTAGAGATGTTCTACAAAAATCCTTGAATACCCTGAGTTGAAGGGATAAAAGAAAGAAATGTCACTCTCAACTTGATGTGATAATTGAACAAGCGAATGTGATCCGGGGAGCGAAAGTGACGGGCTATATTATCCTAGAACAGGTATATATAGCCCGTCACTATATCCTAAAGGGTCTTCTCAACCTGTCTATAAATAAAGCAAAAAATAAACAAGCTCTCTCAACTCAATTTTGCGAGCCTGATTGACCCTACCCAATGATTGTCACCAGCTCATTGAAATTGTGGCACCAAAATTACACCAATTGGAATAATTCACAAAAGATTACATTTCCATATACTGTTATCTCTTTGCGTAACATACATTCTATATCATCTGTCACATTCAATTATTTATATCATACTAGCAGACCGGACGGACGTTGTCCTGTACACACGACTTAAACTCGACAACTTAGAAATAAAAAAAATCGTAGCGGCCCGAATTGTGAATGTAAATCATTCACGAATCGACCTAAAGATACACAAAAACTTTCATTAAAATCGGTACAGCCGTTTAGGAGGAGTTCAGTGACATACACACGTACAGAAGAATTATATATATAAAGATAATTTAAAGCGGAGCGATTTTTAAACGCCGTGCAGTATGGATGGCCATCTATATTAAACATCATCGCGCTGTTTGAGACATTGATTTGTTGTAATAATGATAATAATGAAAATAGTTGAGCAATTATATCGTTTCCACCTTACTTTCGTGTCCATTATAAACTTCGAAAAAACATATTTCCTTATGTGTCTTGAGTTCGTTGACATGTTTTCGTAGAAAGAAGAATTACATACATACATATTAGAAGTAGAAATTTCAAGTGAAGTTGTACGTATCCGTGTGATATTGCATTTAATAATTCTGATTCTTTTTCATCCGTCGATAAACGAGTACCTACATGTATCAGAACGAATCATATTTATTGTATCCTGTTTAATCCGGTTAAGGGTATGTAAAATTCGATATGGTCGTGAATACGACTTTAAATACTCAAGAAGGTTTTTAGATTTATTATATATTTGTTTAATTCTTACACTTGAGAATGGGAGGACCTTTTTTTGGTAAATCTTGTATTTTGGAAATAAAAAAAAAATAAAAAATTAAGAAAAAGATCTGGTACTTATAGAAAAAAAAAGTACAGGAATTGCTCGTTTAAAGGATAAGATTACTTATAGCACCATATTCCACTTCTAATAAAATTAAATCATTACAAATCACGTAATTGTACGTTAGCAAATTAAAAAAAAACATTGTGAATAATCTAGAACAAATTTAAGCTCGAACAAATTTACATGATATATTAAAAGACCTATACACAGGGATTTTTTTTATATTGGTTTATGAACATACAAAATATATCGTTTAAAAACTTGTCCCGAGCGCTTCTCCTTAAGACGTAATCAAACTAATTGAATTACAACTGAAGCAATACATATGAGTAACGGTGGAGGAACTGTACAGAACGTGTCGTGTCAATGTCTGCATTCGAATAACTAGAATCCATTTTGTCTTGTTTAAAGGTGCACTATTTAGTTTACTTTTAGTTTACAAACATTATTAAAGGTAGAGCATAAAATCATTATGTTACGACGCATTCTTAAAGTTCGGTTTGTGAGAATGAAAATAAATATGATAACGATTTTTATGAGCGCTGTATATTTGTGTCTGTTCTACATTTTAATACACGCTTGGCTATTGCACAAGGAAAGAGCGTTGGCTATGCGAAGGACTGGAGTGAATTTATCGAAAGTTGTGGTTCACATAGATTTGAAGGGAGCTCCGCCTAAGTTGGAATACCTTACGTCACTGCTACCATTGTTTAAGGATGTTGGCGCCAACGCTTTGTTGTTGGAGTACGAAGATATGTTTCCGTATAAAGGAGACATCGCAAATTTGAGTTCTAAGTATTGCTACAAGGAACAAGAGGTATGTACTTTACATCAGGTTGATGACAAACGTTTTCTTTTCTTGCTCTAAGCATAAATATTAAGGATATTTAACGTTATTGCCACCTTGCTGCGTGGTCTGTTTGTCAGATAATAGTAAATTTAGAATTTAACATTGTAAATATTTCTGTTCAATCGAACTGATAGCATTAATATATTACATTACCATAACAGTCAAACTTTTTTTTAAACAGATAACGTGGACCTGGCTCTTGCGCCAAATGGTATGGGTTTGATTCCCACTACTGGAAAAATATTTTGTAATGAACATAGTGTTTTCCTTCTATATGAGTGTTTAAATATCAAAAGTATGTATTTTTTACCGAAGAAAATTATTTTAAGTTAATTTAAGTACATAATTAATCAGTTAACCAATGCGTTTTCCAAATATCGGAATAATTGCATATACTTATAATATATATTTTTACAGCTTAAGGAGTTTATAAAATTTGCAACGAACGAAGGCTTAGAAATAATACCATTGATTCAAACATTTGGTCACTTAGAACACGCTTTGAAGTTAGCAGAATTCAAACATTTAAGGGAAATAACTATATATCCTGATTCCATCTGTCCCAGCAATGCAGGAAGTATAATTCTCATCGATAGTATGTTAAAGCAGGTGACTTTGTTTTTAAATTTTCATTTTATATATGGCTATAATCCGGTAGCGCTGAAGCAGTGATAAGTTCTTAACTAATATATGCTTCGCTGGACTTATGATGAATTCTTCAGGCATTTTTTATGGAAAAAGGAGGCATACGAGTCAAGTGGTTCATCTAATGGTAAGCGATTACTGCCGCATATTTACAGGCGAGTCACAATTTTCTGATTATCCCAGTGGGTGTTGTCCCAGGTATGATATACGAGTACATCCCTTGGCAAGCTATTCAAATATAAAATTTACCATTAACTCCAACATTTTTAAAAGTGTATTTTTGGATGCTAGTCCGACACATTTAATGGGGTCCAAGTATGTATTTTTTTTTATGACGAGAGGAAAGACTTTGATTAGAAACTTCAATCCCAGATTCGAGTCGGTTTCCCGGTTATCGCTGCACTCTTTCTCGTGAAGACAGATATTTTTTTTGTTTCCAGATAATTGGTTTTCACAGTAGTGTAGTGGAACTTAAGCATATACACGTCGGTTGTGATGAAGTATTCCATATAAATAAATGCGACCAGTGCCGTAGCCGTGATAATACTGACGTGTGAGTATATATACATATTCTTAGCGTTTACCACTAGCTTTATTTCTGAACGTAACTCAAATTCGTTTTGTAGTTTTATATAAACTATTACAGAGAGCCATGTTGTAATAGTTTATGGTTTAATCCGCATACAGACTTTTTTCCTAACTAACAAAATTCCCTATAGTTAATTTAAGTCGGAAACAATACAGCATTATATATAGGTTAAGGTATAAGCGTGATGCGTTCATCTTTGGGCCTGTAATAGCCCCTTTATCTTAATTTCCTGGTTTGCTCAAATTCCTTTTCACATTCATAATCCTGTTCGCGCCTTCCAATATTCAAAGTCTTTAAAGCTTCTCTTTCACTCAATGTTTGAAATTTACCTTACAATCTGTCATAATTTTAATGTGATAAAACTAGAAACAAAAACAAATATTTGTCCTCTATAATATTATTATCCTTGATTATCCTTCAAGTTACTAACTGAATTTAAAGTTAATGAATAAAGCTTGAGCTTTAAATAAAAAGTTTTAATTTGTATAATAAATTATATTTAAATTATTTAATACGTTAATAATAACCTTATTTGAATTTCAGTGGTATTTACATGAGTCATCTGCGGCGAGTAACGGAAACGGTAAAATTTTGGAGTCCAAATACGACTATTTTATTTTGGGATGATATGCTACGTGGCATAAACTCAGAAGATTGGAATAAATTTAGTGACTTTGAGAGTAAAACTGAACCCGTATACTGGGATTATTCTTCATCTTTGCGAGTAACACATAGAAACTTATACAACTATCATAAAAAGTTTGGAAATATCTGGCTAGCTTCAGCTTTCAAAGGAGCTGAGGGGCGCACGGCGACTTTGCCCAATTTAATAAATCGTTTCATGAATCATAGAGAATGGATAAAATTAACTCTTCACTATAAATTTGGGGGAGAGAAGAAAATCTTCAATTTTAAAGGAATAATACTGACAGGGTGGTCTCGGTACAGTCATATGGATCCACTATGTGAGCTACTCCCAGTATCCATTCCTAGTCTTGTATTGAATTTGTTGCTTGTTAAGGTTTTCCAAGTGACTTACTCTGATGATATATACTCGTTAGAAACTTCTGATTTGTTTAATAAATATTTAAAAAAAGACTTCAAAAGATATTTACAATGTGATGATGAAATACAACTCGAGAATTTTGATGGTTACACCTGTAAATTCAAAGAAAGTAAAATTTATAATGCACTTGAACAATATATTTTTCATTACGATGAACTCATATCCAGAATACACGATGTAAAAGACGGAATCAATTCCTTAGAATACTATAACAAGATAGATCAACTGAACATGAATGAAATCGTGCCCACTATTAAATGGTGTAACGAAACTCTTGCAGATTTTAATCGAATACAAAGTAGGATATATAAATTAATGTTTAATTACTATAGTGATTTCGTCGTGGAGGAGTACATTCAATATAAATTTTATGACGGCAAAAAGAAACTGATAAATTTAATAAGAATGTTAAAGAATTACCATCATATTCATACATGGGAACAAAGGCGTAGAGAAAACCGAAGGACTGGTCGGAATGAAGACTTAATTTAAAAACAAAATAATGAAATATAATTTAAATAGTTGTTACTTTTTTACAATAATATATTAAATTTAGCAAACTTTATAATGCAAAACATGTTTAGGTGACATTTCCTAATGATATTTTTAAATAGAAAAATATTTTTAATTCAGCGGAAGAATTACTACATAAAACTCCTGGGCGTCATATAATTAAACAAAATATTCAGTTTAATTCTACGATCGTAATAGCCACGGAGAAGAGTTAAGTAATTTTATAAAAATATAAACTTTATAAAACTATTAAAAATATTATATTTTTTCTACCAAAGATTTTTTTACTTTTATCATCAAAAGATACAGTCGTAATAATAAATAACAAATAATAAAATCGAAAATCAAATCAAAAATCTATACATTTATTTATTTTTTAACACACAAAATAAGCACTTATGATAATGTTATGTCCTAATGATAAAAAACCTTTTTATCAATATTATCACTTGTCACAATAAATGTTATGAACATTTTAGCACCGCATTTAAACTTAACTTTCATTATGTATATAAATAAGTTTATTATCTTACCTGTTTTTACAATCGATTTCATTAGACTCGCTATTTAATTTATTTTCTGTGACTGCGGTTTCAATTTTAGATTTGTGAATAGGAGCTATTTCTACTGGAGGAGGTGTTATAGGAACTAAACTACCGTCTTCTTCTGCAACTTTTAAGCCAATAGTAGCTCCTAATTTCGCACTAGCCTGTTTAAATGTATCTGATAACTTAACCTGGACTACGTTAATACACATCGAGGTTAAAGCTAAACCAAAAATCAAATACAAAATTGAAGCCATCATAAACATTGGATGATCAGGAACTAAATCACCTAGACCAATAGTTGACATCGATATAAAGACAAAATAGAAAGATTCAAAGAAATTCCACTTCTCCCATATGTTGAACGCTAGAGCGCCAATTATAATATAAACGATTAATATAATTATTGCTAACGATATCGGCAAATTAAATTCATCGTCTATTTCGAAAACTGATGGTGCTGGTGTGTCAGGTTCTGTTGCATTCTCTACGTCTGGTTTTAAAGTCCCAGGCTTTGGTGGTAAAGGAGGGGGCACGTCGCTTGACTTCCTTTCAACTGGCGGAGGCCCTTCATCCTCCGGTGTCTGATCTATATCTTCTTCAGTAAAAATTTGTGAAGGTCGTCGAACCACATCGTAAACTATATTCAGACCTTTAATTACTTCCTGTAATTCAAAATTGTTTATTTATTAATTATCTTGTGCATAACTTAAAAAATACACTGTAAAATGTTTTTTTTTTAAATGAAGGTAAAAAACTGATAACATAATTTATAACTATAATATATAAACATATTTACATAATTTATACAAGCATAAAGGATTTCTTCCGTAAAGGTAAAAAAAGTAACAACCCATACAAGTCGCACTGCTCGGCAAAGGACTCCTTTGTTCAGTGGGCACTATGGAATAGAACAACACACGACCCCAGACTTGAAAAATCATTGAAATATTTTTATTTTGCTGAGAACGTGATAAATTAGCACATAATTGACTATTTTATCGGTGCTGTGGTGCGGTGATTTGAATTAAGGTTGCTCGAGTGTATTGAATTAAAAGTGAGTATAAAGTTCTTCCATTATCCTTCCAAATTTTAAATAAATGTTCTTTAATTGCTGGTATATACTTTTTCTTACCTGCACTGGCACCGTTCTTCGCACCTTTCGGCAACTTCGGGTGTAATAAAATCTTCGTATGAAAGCCCAAAAGAACTTTATTATTCTAGTAAATAATTTACCGAAGTCCGCGAGAACGATTAGAAATAATGGAATTCCAATGATGGCATATATTATGGTTGCGACTCGCCCATATGTCGTCTTCGGTGCTATGTGGCCGTAACCTGTAATTAAGTTAAAAAAATAACTATTTTTTTTTATTAATAAACATAGGAAAGTATATTTGTTTTATTCATGCACTATCGCAATAATTTGATTTATGCGAAATATATATATATTTAAATATAAAACAACACGTAAGTTTGTTATATTTTAATTGATATAAATTTTACGGTGTTCAGGAAATGGGGCAACACATTATGTTTACCATCAAAATAAATAACTATTTGATTTTATAACAGTCTTTTTAGCCTTACCAATAGTAGTAATCAAAGTCAAACAATATACAAAAGAGTTCATAAAGTTCCAAGACCTCTGTCCACTATAAGACGTCACACCAGCTTCATGTGCGGTGTGAAGCTGATTTTCAAATTCAAACAGCTTTTTTCTTGCCATCGATTTCCAATCGTCTTCTCTTAGGGAGTGACTACCACGCCAAAGACTCTCAATAAAATCCCGCTTTACACCTCTACTGCCACACTTGTAGGCGTTTTCAAAGGACCCTTCTAATGTTTTAAACAATATACCTCCTAACCCGCACATTATTACTAAAACTAAAATTTCGCATATGCACCGATTTCTAAGTAACTTAATTTTTTCATAAGCCTCTTTTTGTTCTTCTTGAAATTCTATCCAACGTGCAAAAAGCTTCCATTTATTTCGTAATGTTTTATGCTTGCTATTATCCCCTTTACCCCTATCTGATGAAGCTGCATGTTCAACTATAATTCTTGGCTCATCCGAATGGACGCTTCTTTTTCTTAGAACAGATTTTTGTTCAATTATATTGTCATTGCGTTGAGAGACATAATTATGATCCCGAAAACCTGAAATATGTTCCTTGAAATCTTTTTTGTCTACTTCTTGGCTTAAAAGATTTAATTTTCTTGTTAACTCAGCTGTTCTCTCTGCCAAATCAAATTCGTATTCATTTTCACTAGGTGAAGATGAGTAACAACTAGAAGTGTACTCAGATTGGCTTGCTTCTATGTAGCCTGAACTGTGCCTACTCCTTTTTCCTTGTTCTAAATTTGACTTTTGCCTCGTAAGTCCCGACAAAATCTCTTTATCGCTTATTATTTGTATTGTTTTCGGACAAGATATTCCTCTTGTGTGTCTTAAATTTGTTGGCGTTTTATTGGGTGTTTGTAAAACTTTATTATTGTATTTCTTATATTCAACTGGAAATCTTGAATCATCTTTTGGTATGGATAAACTTCGAGCTCTTGCTTTCTGCATTAACTCTAAGATTTCTTTGCTAGTTTGACTTATTCCTGTACCAGTTTTGTCAAGTATTTGATCACCATCTAATGTTCTATTAAACGATTGTGATCTATTTGCTCTGGGTGATTTATTTTTTAAAAAGCGACGTGGTGTTGGCACTATCTTCCTTTTTGGAATATTTTCTATAAATGTTTGATGCCTTTGCTGATCCTCACTCATTTCACTTTCACTCGTCTTATTCTGCAAATTTCATTATTAATTAATAAGCATTTGTATCTTTTCTAATATCATTATTCAATTTATTTTACATTCTATAGCGTTTCTTTATAGCTTGAAAAATATTGTTAAAAAATATTGAAGTACAATATTAGTAACAGAATAACAAATAGAATCACTAATAATTTGATATAAACACTGACCCCAAAACGAGTAGCTGATTTACTTCTTGTTGGTTTTACGGGTGGAATTTTACTTTTTGGTTCTTCCTTCATCAGTTTACTTGGACTTTGCTTAACAAGTGTTGGCTTCGTGTCAGCTGTAGCTTTTCTGCTAGGTGTTCGAACTATTCTTTCCCTTATTTCTACTATGGGCTTCTGATCTTGAGATAATCTTCTACTGGGAGTTCGTTCCACTTGAATCACTCTTGTGACAAGTTCGCCGCTAGGAGAAGGCGATTCTCTTCCTTTGGATACCTTTGATTTATTTGGGATTTGGGTCTGCGTTTGTATTTCTTCAGGCACATTACTTACATCCTTCCTTATCGGTGAATTTGACTGACTATTTTTTTCTTTTGGCTTTGTTTCAATAACTTCGTCTGGATATATCATCTCTTCTAACTTCTTAGGTGTAGTCGGTAAAGAATAAGGGAAATTTTTGTCCCTTGGAGATGCATTTGCCGTTGTAGGAGGTGATAACGAGCTCGCTTTTTCTATTGTTGTTGAAGTTTCAAGTGTTAAAGACCCTCGCCTGTTTATATCTTCACCTTTAGGTCCTAATGTGTAATTCGTACTCAAAAGTTTATTCGTTGGATCTATGAAACTTCCCTTACGCTCTAAAGTAGTTGTTTCCTCTTTGTCTGGAATTGCAAAGGGTGATATACTTCTACGCCGTCTCTCATTTGCTGCCAATGCTCTAGCTTCAAGAACTTCATCTCGATCTAAGTCATATACAGGGTCTTTGAGGTTGGCTTTTTCCTGAACTAAGCGTTTCATTTCCTCATATGTATTGTCTGCTTCAATTTCCCTCGGGTTTTTCACTGGACTGTGGTCCTCGTCATCAGAAGTAGTTGTATCCTCATGAGGAACAGGTGTTCTACTTGGTTCTGGTGTTTTTTCCCTTTGCCTCGCAGTTTGTCCTTTATTTTTGGACAAATTTCTTCTTTTACGTATACTCATCGGTTCTTTTTGAGTGTCATCCATTGCTAATACTTCAATTTTATTTGCAGACCTAGATATTAATACTCCTGAAGTTTGAGTTTCTGATGCAGCTTTTATCGTTGGAGTTTTCGCAATATTCTGCGACTTAATGTCTTTACTCATCCCTTATACGGTATTATGCGATGGATTGCCTTTATTCATCTCTTGCAGCAACTGAAATAAAAAAAAATATTTGAGATGGAATACTTTGGATAAAAAGAATAAATTCATTAACTCTTACTGCATTAGTGAATATTTATATCACTATCTTTATTTGTGCTGCCAAATAAAAAATATGTTTAGAGCCAAATGTAACTATATTTATAACAAAACCTTTATTAGCCAAGGCCAAAAATCTTTTTGTTATAAAATAAAAACAACCTACCTCTCGCATTTGTTGCATCCAGAAACTCAGATGTTCCATCGGGGTCAACGAAGAAATCTAATAAAAGATTCTATTTTAAACAATCTCAACACTTCACAAATAACCAAAGCTCCACGTTACAAAGCTCAAAGCACGTTACGTCTCCCCCAAATACTGGGGTCGAAACAAAATCTATTAAATCGGTGGCTATATTAAACGAAGTAATTTAATTGTAAGGTTTTTGAATCGTTTTTAACTAACAGCGCATGAGAACTGAAGTAACGTACGGCGAGTCCGCTGGGCACAGTTCCAATTTCGAGAACCACGGCTAAATTCCGTTCAGTTTGCATGTGTTCGCCTAAAATAAAAATTACAATACGTCATTTATCAAGAGAAACACTGTTCGGTAACAAACTGGGCATTGTTAGTTCAATTTTTGAATTCACCAAATTGTGTTAATGATTTAAATAATAATCCTAATGTTACTTTTATGTAGTTAGTAGGATGTAAATCGCTAGGTAAATGAACCGAAAAATAGAAAAATGTTAAACATTTTTTAAACGCTGTACACCTATAGAGACACACAAAGTGTCTTGGCTTAATGTATTTTCGGAGTAATGTGTATGGGGTTGAAATTTTATACTAAAAAATAATTAAAGTTTAGACCTTTGTTTAAGTTTATATTTTTCTAATTAATTTGAATTAAAACAAACTTATAAATGAAAAGTGAAGGAGATTTAATTTATTATAAACTTTAAATTAGAAAATTTGAAGTTTTTGTGATATGATCCCAGTAATTTGTACACATAATATAAAAAAAGACAATTGAACAAATTACAAAAATTCAATTATTAAATTAATTCCAGCACGGATTTTCAGCGCCTGTGTAAAAATAATAGCTCAAGCCTACCATTTCATACACGACGATTGCTGAAAGACAGGCACCAGATCTATTTTTTGTATCAAAACTTTAACATCATAAACTGTCGTGTAGCTCTTATTGGAAACTGCTGTGTCCTACACATTAGAAACTGTTGTGTAGGACAAGTTTTTAATGAGTTATCTACCGTACTTTTTGTTTATGTATGTAAATTCACATCAGTCTATATTACATTTCAATTTCCTTTGAATCTACTACTTTTCAACGCTTAAACTTGTTTTGATGTTTTTTCGAGCTATAGATAGTAAGCGAATAGATTCTTTATAATATAGAAAATAAAAAGTTATCAGATGCGACGAATATAAATATTTGGGCACCATGTTGCACAGTTCGGGGTAAACATCACAGCACACAAACATGCACAGTAAACATTCAGCACCGTATTCAAGCAGCCTTAAATGGAGGAAGGTAACTGGCGTGACCTGCGACCCAAAAATACCTATCAAGCTTAAGGGGCTATTATATAAGACCATGATCAGGCCACTTCTTACCTTTGGAAGCGAAACTTGAGCCGTGACACGGAATCAGGTCCATACCATACAAGTAGCGGAGTTAAAGATGCTACGGTGGACGTGCGGACAAGATACGCAATGAGTACGTTCGAGGAAGTCTCGGCGTGCGTGACGTCGCCGACATTCTCCGGGACAGTAGGCCGCGATAGTATGGACATGTACAACGTCGACCTTCTGACTAAATAGGGAAAGAAGCGTACATCCCAGGTTCCCGGAGACGGGGAAGACCAAAAATAAGATGGATAGAGGTACTTAGAAAAGACCTCAACGCCTGCAATGTTACCCATGACGATGCGAATCGAAGTGAGAGCGAAAGACAAGCACTACCGTGTGGGAATAATAAATGCACGGGGGAGAAAGAGAGACAGAAAATACCGTCTGCAGTCTACTCTTATAACTTTTCCATTTGTTGAACCGGTGTGAAAATATCTAACTATCAATTACAGCATAAAATTCATCGTGTTTTTTGTTCAATTTTGAAAAGAGCCACAATAAAACATTGTAAGAAATGACAATATACATATAATATACAAAATGAAAGAGTAACGTTTTACCCACTTTTCGTATTGCGGTCCATAGTTTAAGAATAAATTGGTTGCAGAATATTTTAATTTCATCGTTTTCTCATCTTTTCAATTAATCACTCAACATATAAGTTTTCACAAAAGATTTTAATTAGTTTAAGCTATAGCTTTAACTAATTAAAATCAGTCTTTTATAAACACAATACTTGGATGTTGTATTTATGAAAGATTTGAATGTATAACAAGTATTCCGTAACATCCAATGTATTAGCTGACTTTGTTTTAAACATTGAAAACAATTTTTATCCTTTTCTAAGTGAAAATGGAACAGAAACATATTAAGAACAGAACAGAACACATTAAGCATTAGGTACGCATAACGTACAATTTTTGCTCAATTATTTGTCCCTCGTTTAGTCCATTCTGTTAAATTGGTTATATAACACTTTTCCAAATTCTTTCAGCAAACTTAACTACGTACATACTTTGAAAAATACGATAGGTGATGTTATGTATACGGGCAGGGAGCGAGTTAAACAACCGGTAGCTTGCTATGCACTGATTTATTGACAGGGCGCGCGGCGCAGGCACGCATACTTATACATACATAACAATTCCCCACCCTATTTAGAAATAAATAAAACAAAATTATGATCTAAAAAAAGAACAAGTAACCTAAAAAAAACGTTTATAATCGACCCTGGGGAGGGGGCGCAATCTATTTCGAGTGCCTTCGACTCGATCATTATTTAAATCTGCTTCTGCTTCATGAAACTCATCGTCCGGCTCTGAGCGAGGCGACAACACGGGGCCTTCTACTATATCACCTTCCCTTGGACCGGGCGACTCTTCTCCCTCTGCTGAGGAAACTGGGCTAAGATTTGTAATTGTTGCCGGTTGAAGCTTTGACGGTGATGATGGTGATGGTGGCGATGGTGATGGCGGTGACGACGACGGAGGTGTAAATGTGTTTCCAGTGTCGCAAGTGCTCCTTCTCTCGTTTGCGTCCCCGTCCCATGCATTAGTCATTAAATTTAGCTTTATATAAAATTAATTGATTTTTATGTTTACGATAACATACTTGCGTGTCCCAATCTATAACTAAGTAGATAACTTTACCAATTCTTTTTTTTATTGTTCCTTTACACCAGATGAACTTGTTGTTTACGTATCTTTTATATAAAACGAAAGCGCCAGGTGACAGTTCCTTAATACGCATTGGTTCTTCATTCTGTGAACACTTTTCCGCAATTGTTAAATTGAATGAAGCCGCAGACGCAGACATCGATGAAGTAGGTACTAATTTGTCTAACCGCGACTTTAATTTACGCCCGAAAACTAACTCAGCGGGTGACAAGCCGGTGGTCGAGTGCTTTGAATTACGGTAATCAAATAAAAATTTTAATAAATTATTCTTAGATTGTTTTATATTACTACTAGACATAATACTTGACTTTATTCCTTTTTTTATTATTTTTACGTAACTTTCGGCTTGGCCGTTACTAGCCGGGTGATACGGTGGCGACGTGACGTGCGATATCCCGTTTGTTTCACAGAAGTTTTTAAAATCTTGAGAAGTGAAAGCTGTTCCATTGTCACTCACAATCGTTTGCGGTATCCCAAACCTAGACATGAATTCGTACATTTTCTCAATGACTGTACCGGTGGAAGTCGAACTAGCTGTATCGTATATCTCCGGCCATTTAGAATACGAATCGATGACTACTAAATACATGCGCCCGGCTATTGGACCTAGAAAATCCATATGTACGCGGGCGAAAGGGTATCGCGACCGAGGCCAAGGAACGGGCGGCGCACGCGGAGGGGATGGTCGGAGGTTGATGCATACCTCACATGTCCCTATCATCTGTTCAACGGCCTCATCTACACCCGGAAACCAAAATCTGGATCGAACTTCAGCTTTGGTTTTTACGATACCGAGATGCGTTTTATGCAACTCCGATAAGACCCTACTGCGCAACACCTCGGGAATTACGACTTTATGGCCTCTCATTAAGCATCCGTGTTCGACCGATAACTGAGTTTTACACGAGAAATAAGGCTTAAGATACAAGTCAGTGATCTTCTTAGGCCAACCGTTTCTAACATATTCGATTACTTTACATAAAACATCGTCCCTTTTCGTTTGTTCACGTAGTTCCGATAGCGTAATCGGCAAACTGGCATCGACGACACAACACACGTAAGCCGCGCGGTCGCTCGAAGCAAAATCATCTGTCGTGCACTTATCGAGTACACCTGCACCGGTGCAGGGCGCGTGGCCCGTCTCCGCTATACTCGAGCGAGACAAATAGTCGGCGCTGTTATCGGCGCTTCGCACATATTCAATCGTATAGTTATACGCGCTTAGAAACATTGCGTATCTTTGCAGTCGATTCGCCGATATCTCTGGGATACCCTTATACGGTCCGAATATCGAGATGAGTGGCTTATGATCTGTTCTCAATACGAACGGGTTTGGCCTACCGTATAAATATTGGTGGAAACGCCGAACTCCAAAAATAATTGCAGACGCCTCTTTCTGAATTTGTGAATATCGTTTCTCTGCCGCATTTAGAGTTCGCGATGCAAATGAAATCGGTCTCTCATGCCCGTCGGAATCTACTTGCGATAATATCGCCCCCAACCCAGCCGGAGACGCGTCTACGGTCAGGATTAACCTTGCATCGGGGTTGAAATGGGCAAGTACTTGGTCTGATGCCAATAAAAGTTTTATTTTTTTGAAAGTCTCTTGATGGACCTCACTCCATGACCATTTCACACCTTTTTTCAATAAACTGTATAATGGGTTTAATACAGATGATGCATTTGGTATAAACTTTCTATAATAATTCACTAGGCCTAAAAATGATTGCAGTTGATTTATATTCACTGGTGCGGGGGAGTTCACTATAGCTTTAACTTTATCCGGAGACTTTTTTAACCCATTTTTATTGACAACATAACCCAAGTAGCTAACCTCATCTTTATAAAATTCGCACTTCTCCTTCTGCAAAGTTAATCCCGCATCTTGTAGTGTCTGCAGCACGGCCCGAAGGCGTGAATAGTGTTCGGCGTCGTCACGTCCCGTAACGAGCACGTCGTCCAGCAAACACAGCACGCCCTCCATTCCACCTACTAGGCCCTCCATTGCGCGTTGGAAAATTGCTGGTGCAGAGGCGAGACCAAAAATTAACCTAGTATACATGTATAATCCCCGATGAGTATTGATTACCGTATACTTTTGTGACTCTTCATCCAATTCTAGTTGGTTATAAGCCATTGATAAGTCTAATTTCGTGAATTTTTTTCCACCATATAGCTTTGCAAATAACTCCTTGGCAGTTGGTAGAGGATATTGATCGATAATCAATTGCTTATGAATACTAACCGAATAGTCGGCACATAAGCGAATAGTGCCATTTCGTTTTAAAACAGGGACTATCGGAGAAGCGTATTCTGCATAATCAACCGGTTTTAATACACCTAACTCAACCATTCTGTCGATTTCTTTTTTTATCTTACTGCGTAAGGCGAATGCAATTGGTCGCGCTTTAAAAAAAACTGGTTTTGCATTATCCTTTAAATGTAATCGCACCTTATGTTTATTAAAGCAACCTAGTTTATCGGAGAAGAGAACTGGAAATTGACTTTGCAGTTCTTCCGCGGAGGAAGGGGTACCCTCGCAGTAATTAACCGGTGATGAAACCGATGACAACTCTAATTGGAATGTTGATATAAAGTCCCTACCGAGAAGCGGCGGTCCACCGTCCCGGGACTACGTACACATCGAGCGTGCGGGAGCGATTAGTATAGTACATGGGCAACCGTACTACGCCTATACATGTTATTTTATCCCCCGTGTAGCTCGTCAACCTTTTATGTGAAGCAATCAATGGAACATCTTTAAAATGTGATTTATACTTTTTGTTCAGATATGACAGTCACAGCAGAACCGCTATCAATTTCAAAGTTAAATTTAGATCCACGTATAAAAACAGTCTCGGTCATCGGCTCACCTCGCAACGAACGAATTTTCAATACCTTACCATCATCACCGACGTCTTCGTCTCCGGCTCCATTATCTACGAAGTTAACTTTTTGAGACGTACACATTCTACGTAGATGGCCTACAACGTTACACTTCCTACATACGAAACTCGCGTACCGGCACTCCGAAGCCTTGTGATTCGTATAGCCACAGACTTTACACTTTTTTTTTAACGAAAGTTCACTTTTTACGCCTTTATCTCTCGGTGATGTAATCTTGTACAACGCGCCAGTGGAAGCAGCTGACGCGCAGCTTGTGCTGGCACTGGCGATGGCAGCTGTCTTCGCGCTACGGACGTTTTCAGCAAACTCCACAGCTTTCGCGAGGGTTAAACTGGTAATGTCTTGAGCGTAAAGTTTCTCTTTCTCAAGACCAGGCAACATTCCCATTACAAACCGGTCTCGTAGGGCCTCCCCGATGTTGTGGAAGGCTCAGCGTGACGTGAGACCCGCGCAGTCTTGCAGCCCACTGCGAGTGTGTTTCACCAGCATGCTGTGTGGCTGCATAAAAATTGTGCCGGTCGGTGAAACCAACAATCTTCGGGTTAAAGTGGACGTCGAGAATACGTAATATGTCTTCGTAGGGCACCTCCTGCACATCCTTGGGTAAGGCTAAATCCGCAGCGAGCCTATAGGTACCCTCCGAGAGTGCACTTAGCAAAATCGCTCTTCTCTTCTTCCCGCTTGAGTCCGACGTGTTATTAATGTCGTTAGCCAAGAACCACTGGTTTATGCGGCTTTTATAGGTTTTCCAATCTTGTATATTGTGATCAAAACTAGATAATATACCAAAATATGAACTAGCCATTTTTTATTTGTTACAACGCGGGTACTCGTCGCCAATGTTATGTATACGGGCAGGGAGCGAGTTAAACAACCGGTAGCTTGCTATGCACTGATTTATTGACAGGGCGCGCGGCGCAGGCACGCATACTTATACATACATAACAGGTGACGTATAACTTTTTATCTTTGTCGTTATAAAAGTCAACTCGTCGAGCCGCATGTTACAGTAAATGCAAGCGTAATAAATATTCGTTATAATAAATATTCGTTACCGCTTTTTGCGCGAATGAAAATTTCTTTTCCATCGAAACTTTTCAATCGCAACATTCGACAATATTTGTTTTCTGTGAACATACCTATCGTTGTGAAGATAGTTCCAGCGTAGAACATCGAATTCCAGAACGTCCAAGTCTTCTTCTGGGTATCGTTGTCGTTCAGATGTTTCATACAGTCGGAGTACTCGTTCTCGTAGTCCTTGAGGTACCTCACTATGGAGACTATGATGTCCTAAAACAAAGTCAAACTCGAAGATAAAAACATTTCATTCTGTTTAAGATTGTTTCGAGCACTCAGAATCTCTGAAGTGCTCGAAACAATCACTGAAACCACTGGTTCACCAACTCAATAACTAGCATGATAATGTCTTGTATTTACGCGATTACACATTGTGAGTGAAACTAATTTTATGGATTTATCGCGTTTATTTGGAACATATAGCTAACGTAATACATAGTAGATCGAACAAGTCTGCAGTTTGTGAGCACACAAAATTAAAACCATCACTGTGAATCACACAAATTTCGCGTGGCACACACAGGACGGCGCAAAATGACAGTGGTTGAGGAGATTACATAAATGACCACGCGATTTATAAATCATCTCAGAACTCAGAACTTGTTAAATCACACTAATTGTACCGATGCACACACGATACGGAATTGTTTTGTGCTTTGAATCGCGTGAAACTGTTAAAGCAAAAACATCCGCTGTATTTTATAGCATAATTCTCTTTGAAATTCCTATTACTGATTGGATGGTCTGTTAAATAAAATTACTGCACGGATTATTTTTTTTTTTAATTCCCGAAGTGTCTAACAGATTAACTGTGATAAACCACCATAGCCACAGAACAATCTATTTTACGAAGAATTTTGATAAATATTAATATTAAATATTTTGGGATAAATAAAAAAAATCTTACATTTAAACTAAGGACATTTCGCCTATTTAAAACGGAACTTACCTCAAACTTGGTTTCATTGCGCAAAGCGATATCGTGAATGTAGACCGCAGCTCTTCTGCGAACCTGTGTCAGATTTTTGTCATACATCGCTTCATTGGGAGCTGAAATCACCAGATAAAAACAAATATAAATTATAATATTAAGTAATCACAGCTTTTATGGACAGATTAACAGTATAAATTTTATACTAAGTATATAGAACATAAACATACACAATTGGTTTTGTAACGAAAGGTAAGTAACAATTAATATTTATAAACGATATGATTAAGTTTTATTAAATGTATGAAGAAATCTGGAATCGATTATTAAATTGCAACAACTAATTTAGTTAATTCCACATCATAAAATAAATAAAAAGTGACCAAATATTTTTTTTAAATAAGAAACCAGACAAATTAATTATGTTCCACATATTAATACAGGTGTGGATTGGGGTGAACAATTTGTTTTATAATTTGCTTAGTGTGCCATAGAGTCAGTTTTAGTTTTATACAAAATATGATGCCGTATAATTATTTTGTGGGTAATAACCAAGATGTTGCCGATTTTTCGATTTCTTGAACTTAGTTTTGCCGTTCAAAATCAGACGGTTTACTTAATTGTCCATTATGAGTAAGCTCACGAGCATTATCAATACACAATTGGAAGGATGAACGTTTTGTGACCTCACTTCCTAAATGAAAGGTGACGTATACCTAATAGTACTTTATTTTTCTTTTCGTTTACCATGAAACTATAATTTGGCACTAAAATTCTGCGATCCCTGAAAGAAAGACAAAATATAAACAATTGTACTGTAGAAATGTCTTTTGTTAGACCATAGAAATTTAGTGTCAAAACTGCCTTAAATTCTTCGTCCACTCCGTTACTAGCAGTTTACGGTTTTCTTTTTATTATTTGTTTCATCGTCTATTTATGTTTGAGTTTTAAAGATTTGTTAACATTTAATGTTTTACATTAAAATTTTACTTATTTGGAATGTAACATTAGTGATACACGTCTGCGTTCCGTCTGAAGAGTGAGGTAGCCGGGGCCCACTTTATTATAATGTGGCAACGCATCTGCAACCCTACGGGTGTTGCAAATGTCCATGACATATTTCAGATGTCTACGGGCGGTGGTTATCACTTAACATCAGGTGAACCACCAGCTCGTTTGCCACCTTCTCATATAAAAAATATTAAGACTTAAAATTTTAATGAAGGTGTAAAAATAATAGCTACTAAAATTGTGTGCGTAGACAACATTACTTTTAGAAACTCTTCTAATACTTTAGCTTACACACAAAGGCACCCAACTCTATCCAAATTAAAAGTTTCCGTATTTGAACGTCGTAAATAAACTTAAATAAACCCAATAACACAAACTCGTAGCGACCTTCACGCGAAGTTTCCATAGCAAATTTTCATAACGAGCTTAAGTCTAAACCAGACCAAAGTTAATTAGCGTAACGTGTTACTAGTTAGTTGGGTCCAAATATAATATTTGCATACTAACACTTTTTAAAGGAGATTTGCATATTACTATACAAAAAATTCTGTAAGACTTTAGTGAAACAAGCTATTTTTGTTTAACCCCCATAGGACAGGCATTGCCCAGTGTGGGGGTCAGAAATAAATTTAAATGTATTTAGGCTTCTTCTGAATAAAGTTATATTAAACTTTTTGTGCAATAAATTTGGGATTTGGAGTAATTATTACACACTATGTATACTTTTTGTTCAAAAGTTCAAAGGTTCACCTCATTTTATGTGATTACCGCCACCCGTAGACATCTGAAACAGCTGAGGGGGCCCACATTTTAAATATTTAAAAAAAGGGCCCCAGTTACCTCACTCACTAGAAGGAACGTGATGATATGATACTTTGAATATACGCCAGTCTTCTGTGAAGCCTCCACCGGATGAACCAGCAAATTCATGCAACAAGAGACGCTGTCGCGTGGCACTACCATAGCAAAAGTTAAGTGTATTTTTCTAATACTTCCCCGTTCAAGCCTGCCCATTCGTGCAACAGGAATTGCCAGTGCTCGGTCCTACCACAGTGAAATGAAATAGATATCCGAAAGATCAAAATTATCTGCACTTTTAAAATACAAAACTTTAGGCACATGGTGTCTTTCTAAATTTTTGCACGTATATGAAACCAAAAGTTTAATGAATATTATTGTTAAAGAAATAGAGAAATATAACTATTCCAATAACATTGTATTCTATACAACTGACTTGACAGCTTGAACAACACGATTGACAAAACTGTCGTAGGTTCAATAGAACAATAAAATTGCAAATAAGTACAGAAAACCGTAGTTCCCAGGGCCCAAATTGCGGTTTTCGTCGTTGAAGATCAACCACAACGACCATCTTCCCCTGTGAGTTTATTAAAGTTGTAGTGAAGGTTATATTTTGAAGGAGGAAAGTTTCGGCTAACTTGTTGATAACTAATAACTTATCCTAAAGCCACGCCCTTTAGCTTTGATGTCAACTGTGAACAATCGTTAACTAATAAGGACATGCCACTTTCTAAAATTCAAATTGATTTTCATAGGTTGTAGCAACTATTAGGTCAAAATTTTAAATGAATTATTATTCATCCAAACTAAAATAGCTATGAACGGAATTAGCTTTATAAGAGCGTTGTCAAAATAGGGATTAAATATTGAAATATTTTTTACTACATCTCCAAACATACGAAATTAGCTAGAATTTTTAGTTTTGCGGACGAAACTTTGGGTAATTATAAATAAATTAAAAGAAAAAGAAATTTTTGAATGTAACCAAAAAGCAAATTTATTTTCAATGCATTCATACGCTCTTCTTATATCATATTACTATCATAAAAATATTTTGAAAATAATCGCGCTCTTTTTAATAACCATTGAGAAATGGCATATCTGGGGATAAATCAGGTCATGAGTTGGAATCCTGTTTTTGTATCATAATAAGTTGTTAATTTTCCGAATTATTTACTTACAAAAGAAATTACTTGCATTTTTCTATCATTGTCCGGTGACTGACCCATCACTGTCAGACTGTATGAGTGCGCTAAAACATTCATTTAATCAAACTACTTCCACTATGCCTATGCGTTCTTAAGCTATTATATGAAAAAGTCTTTATTTCAAATATATATGAGAACACTTACGCTTGCTTTGATGCTAGTTCAAAGCTTTATGTTATAAAAAAATAATAAAACCGTATTGTAATATGCGTAAAAGTTATAAAAGAAGTTAAGAAATACTTAACTTTATACTTTAAATATTCCTAACGGACTTAATATAATTTGAATTTGGAACGACAACGATTCTTATAAGTGACGAAATCAGCAGACAATGTTAGGTTCATTTCCTAATATACTTTGAAAGTTCGTTTAATTTTTTATTTATTTATATCACATTGACAAAAATCACAATGTTTTCTTTCACCGCTGAAAACGGGCACCGGGAATTGAATTCATATTGCTCAAGTCTATTGAAATAGAGACGAGCACCCGGATATTGACATACTATCACGGCTTATTTGATTTCTATAAAGCAACAAAAAAATCAAATCCCCATCTACGGCATATATCTTTCTGAATTTCACAATAAAATTATACAAACCAACAGTTGAAGGCAATCAATTTTGATTTGCATATGCAAAACCTGTTGTTATCGTGCCATATAATCCAATTATTTAAATTAACATCAGATTTATAATCCACTCGGGGCTGCTTGTTCAATGGCTGCCTTAGCTCCAAATATCATTCATAGGGGTTATATCGCTCACAATCTTTCAGGTCATATACATTAATTTCACCATAAATGAAAAAAATATAACTCAGAGGCTACATTTAACATTTACATTAATAGTTCTTTTCTTTCTTTTAAGTTTCATCATGCTTACTAAACAAATCTAACAATAATCAATAATAATAAATATTTAGGACACACTTTTAGACAACGTTCTCCAGTACCAAACTAAGCAACGCTTGTACTATCGGTACAAGATAACTGATAAACATCTATTGTAAATAAATACATATTATAAATATATAAACACCCAGACACTGGGAATACACTATGTTCATCACAAAATATTTTTACAGTAGTGGGGATCAATATATTGAAATTTCGCAACCATTTCAATGTATTTGCTCCCTTTTGTTTTTCCATTCGCATCGCCATCATTGCCGTCATTACCATTTATCTCATTATTCTTTATCGTTAATATTTATAGCCTCATAATATATTTTGCACAAATGACTGCCTCAGGCCGCGCGTAGAACATGTCGCCATATCCGTAATACTTATGTAAATAATGTCAAAAATTCTTTATCTTCATAGGTCTTGTTATGTAAGAGCTTTGTTTTTATTTTTTTGCTTTAGTCTTCTAACTGAAGTTAATATTACGAAACATTTCAATCAGCGACATGACTTTATAGAGAAGAAAACATAGCAACAAGGTTATCACAAACTGTGGTATTTTTTTAAAGATATATTGATGTACTTGATTTCGAATATTATGCGCCGAATACTTAGTAATTTTAATGAACAAAGAAATGTCGGATATACAAAAGTAAATCGAGTAAAAGTAAAACAACAGATTTGGGATAATCATTTGATCTTTGCTATACATTTCGCTTTTACCCTCGCTTCTTTTGTAGTACTAATAATACAAAGGAGATCGATACGTGATTGCCGATGGGCACAGATAATTTAGTAGACATTGTTTTACGCTTTTCGCCCCTAAATCGAACAATAGATTGTGTTACAATCACGCACGAATACAGAGTATTTACGTCTATTGAAATAACTGCTCTTAAAATATTAATAATCAAATTTGCCTGTATAATAACGTATACGAAAGAGAAGTGTAACTTCTTTAAAAATATAAATAATAATAAAACATATGAATTGTCATCACAATGTTTTAAGATTAATCAAATTAATAATGACAGATTGCGTGATAAATCAACTGTTCATAAACGAGTATAGAATCCCAAGTTTACCATCTACCTTTTTGTATTGTGTGTTACATTCTTCTCTCTCTCTCTCTCTCTCTACCCCATTTTACGTAACTCCCATTTTACGTAATAAGTCTTTCT